CTTGCCCTGCCGTCCCCTCGAGGTCTCGCACTCTGTCCTGCGTCACTGCTCTGCATCTTCACGGGGTTCGTGCTATTTTTGCCCGCTTCCCCCTGAGACTCTTCAATCTGATAATCTCCTAATCTCCAGCTCCTGGCAATTCATCTGCACTTTGTCTTTGCTTTATACCTGGTTTACGTCTTGGGAGTAGTCTTCAAAATAGCTTCTGACCTTGTTGGCTAATGCATGTTAAGAAATAGGCCTGCAGAGCTACAGGAGCCCTCTCATTCCCCAAATTCTTGTTATTGCCTGTGTTGGGGAGAGACGTCCCTATTACAAGTCACTGCTGTTGCATCGGTTTCTTCTACAGCATCCTCCTGACTTAACCATTTGCATTACCAGGGTTTGAGTTCTTTCTCACCCCAGGTACACTCTACTTTCCTTTGTGGGCTATTAAAGCCTTAAAATAGGAACTGCCCAATCTGAGCTCAGACGCTCCGATGAGCACCGCAGAAATTCCCGTAACGTCTGTGAGAGGGGACACGTGCTTTCTCCTGATGTCAGAGAGGGAGGAGGGATCTCGAAAGGAGCGTGGCAAGGAGTGCGAACCCTGTTGCTCCCATGAACTCCTGGTGATAAAATGTGCCTGGTGGGGTGGTGGTTGCAAAGGAAATCTGAAAATATAGGACTGACTTTTAGCTTTCTCTGAGGAGGATCAAACACCTAATCTCATCCATTGCATAACCGAAATAACAAGGAGAGGGCAGGAGGAGAAAGTGCCTTCATTAGCTTTCTTCTTGTGTTATCTACAAGACCATGACAATTGTATTATCCCTCACCTTTTGTGCTCCTTTGTAACACCAGCTTGCTAAAATACATGGCTGGAAATATGCACCAGGGTTCTCGGTGTACCATCGCTCAGAAGAGAATGGGCAGTGCCTGCTGTCATTGCGGAGGCTGTTTTGCCCCTTTCTTTTGCAATCTTGGTTGTTCTTGGGAGGGGAGGAAGGTTTCTCGGATGAGAACTGGCTTTTCACTGGATTGGACAGCAGAGGTACCACCTCAGAGCTGTAAACAGGGGATGAGCATCCACGGTTTCTGATAATAAAGCTAGACACCTCTTAATGAATGCCTTGCTACAGATTGCTGTTTGGGGTGGGTTTGGTTTTTGGTGTTTTTTTTTTTGTTTTGTTTTGGTTTTTTTTAAGCACTTTTTCACACTGAGGTAATAGGAGAATTCATGATGGAATCCATTGTGTGTGGCTCAGGTGGTCCATCACCTCTGCTGCTTCCTGAGACCACCACGGTAGTGCTAATTGTGCTGCCAGACTCTTCAAAACCATGGTAGGTCTTAAGGTTGAAAATATCTCTAATGGTGGGGAGTTGTGGATCTTTAGGCACGATACAGAGATTATGGGAAAGAAGCTGCAGGGGCACCAGCAGGA